AAAAATAAAGCTTTCATAACCGTCTCGATTATGTGTCGAAGATGCGTATGTGTGCGAAAATAAAATTTATATTCTTTAATTTTTCTTAATCTTTGATTAAGATTGCAGTATGATTCCTGTATCTTATACATTATGTCTGCTGGATAGAAATTTGTACATATACAGATAGTATATAACATATAATTATATAACTTATATAATTTGTCATCAAAATTTTGATATATTTATATTACAAAAATTGATATAAAAGGAAAAAGTTATAAAGCACACTTTTATATATTATATTTTTAAAAACCCGGCATTTTTTCAATTTTTCAATTTTAACCCTAAAGTAATAATGAGCTGTATCAATAACATATATTATCGATTTTCCAAGAAACATTAAAAAATTAAAATCTATCAAATTGCATATTCGCCGTCTTGAATTTCACAAATTTGAAAACAATTTCGCAATCAATAACTCTAAAAATCCCCGGTTATCAAATTTCATAAAAGTATATACGTTTAATAAAATAGAATACTTTCAGAATAAACTGACAAATTCAAAGAAAATTCAAAACTTTAAGGCACTTATCAGAACAGAAGATATTATCGGATTGAAGATTGGTCCAGTTATTTGTTATAGTATAGTACAACAAAATTTATATATTAGAATATACAATATACAAACTTTAACATTTTTCTCTCGATCTCCCTCTAATATACATATCACAAATATCAAGATGCCGCGAATTCTATTGTAGGTCGTTGCACGCGAGCACACAACATTATTGTATTCGCCGTGGTGAAGTTATATATCAAGCCAAAGTTAGGTTTGTTCCCCGAGATGCACGAGAGAGTACTGTCGGACTCGCGCGTGTCTGAGAAAGGAAGAAAAAGAGAGAGAGAGAGAGACGAGCGGGTAGACTCCTAGGCGGTGTAATATCACTCGTTGATGTGAGTGCGGAGAGAAGAGGAGGGAGGAGGAGAGGCTGAGGCCGCGGGCTGCGAGAGGGAATAAGGGGATGCGCAGTCGAGGGTTTCGTTCCCGTGCTCGGCTCCGAGCCCCGAGGGCACCATTTCCAACGGAACCGAGAGCGCGCGCGAACCGGGATGCGGGGATCCCCGGATCCCGCCGCTATTCCAATTGCTTCCCTGTTTGATATGCGCCAATTTCGTCCAATATGTCGCGCCCCTTAGACGACACGATTCACCCAGCGAGAGAACTTGCGGCCTCCCTCTTTCTCCTCCGCCAGTGCAAGTAATCCTAGAGTAAAAAAAAATGAGAATATCCACGAGATCTATCTCCCATTACGCTTTTGTGGATCTGTCGATCTAAATGCAATCGACAAAATTAAACGTGTAAGAAATTCTAAATACGTTTCCCTTGTTCTTTCATCGGTAAATTCATTTATAAAAATCTCATCAAATATTTAAAATCTTTGTTTTATAAATTTTTAATTATTCTTTCCAACTTTTTTATCTCCTTATTTATCATTACACACAGATTGAAAATTTATATATGTATACATATATAATTTTTTTATAAAATATCTAATTTACTCCTTTTTTCTCTACTCCCATTTCGTTCCGGTGTGATCGCACCCTCACTTATGGGTGGTATTTCCGGCCGGCTGTACGCGAGGGAATCCCCGGCGTGCGGGATGATCGCGGGTGGTCACGTGTCGCCGAGTGACTACTCGCTCTCTTCCTCAATGATACTCGACGCGTTGTCACGTTTGAAAGGTCCATTTATATTATTTATCACCCGGCTTTTCCGCGCGGGAAAGATCCGGAGAAAGGCATTTGGCGAGATGTCCGGCGCGTGTTTACTTACGTGCTCGCTAACGTAAACGGATGATTGCGGAGTGACCGTTGATCTGATTGCGTATATATATGGGAGGGAGGAGGTTTGAGATAAATTATTAATCCCACACTCTTGCATCTTATAAGACACATCTCTTCACATTATTTAAATCGTGCAATTTTTTTAATTATTGCAAATATATTTATAAATTTTTCAGGACTTGTTCTTACGATTATTTTCTGCTTTCTTTTTTTCTCCCTCTTCATAAAGAAACTATATTTAAAAAAAAATTAAATTTAAAAATTTTTATTATGTATTTATTTTGTTACGTATTTTCGTAAAAGAGAGACTATGTCTTTTTGTCTTTTAGTATTGATCAAATTTGAAGCGTACTTTTCAATACAGTTTCGCCATGAGATTGTCGAAAAGAAAGAACCCGAGTAACTGTAAACAAGTAAATATATTTGCCGATACATATTCGCTAATAGCTTTCGTGAATCATATATTAGATATACCATTGTCGTGCATACATTATTCAACAGGATCGAACCTCGCCATTTCCACGAGTTCCATTTTTACGAATCCGCGGCAGAAGAGCAGGGAGAAGCATATGGAATTATATACTTGTTCGCTCAACTGTGCGGAATAACGCGCCATCATCCACTTGTTTCTCGCGTACACTCGCATCTTATTACAGACCACTACGGATCCGGCGTCTGTCCCGGACACGTTATCGGACGTTATCAATCCCACGAACGGATAAATAATGAAGTTACACGGCGGCGGGAAACTAATACAATACGCTGCACCATAACAATGTCACGCTATGCAACGCGGTCGAGTTGCCAAATCCGCGATGCGCTTTACAACTTTATCATATAGCGCGTAAACCTCGTTTCGGGTAATCTCATTTTCCGCGAACTTCCTCAAACTCGCGAGAGTTCGCTTGGAAGAGATGATTGTTACATGATATAAATATTTGCATTTTTCCTGCATTCTTCCAAAAGTGCAAAATTCATATCGTTATTCTTTTACCTTCCTTGATATCTCTATAGATCATTGTCAGATGTGTATTTTCATGATACATTGGTGCTATCGCACACAATTATATTATATCAAATATTACAAGTGTAAATATCAAATACGATGTATCTGATAAGAGCGTCTGTAATAAAAGTTCCGTTTAAATTTTATAAAGATATCACGCAGCATGTGAAATTTTACCGACACTCGACACTTTCGAGTAGATTAATGATTAATATTATTTTGTGTGACACACAAATGCTGTATGTTAAATCTTTTACAAAATCTCGGAGATTGCTGCGACGATACACGGAGCGATCATAGCCACCCCCAGGGGGCGCAGAATGGATCCGGTCGAGGAGCGAATGGTACGCGTGTAAGGGGATAGATAGGTAAAGAGGAAGCTCGTAAAGAAAATGCGCGCGCGAGGCAACCAAAGAGGGGTGGAAGCAGTCAGTCAGGTAGAGAAGAAGCCGAGAACGTGCTGGGAATGTATGTAGGCTCCCCCGTTACTCGGCTGGACGGCCGTATAGAGAACCCGGGCTCTTCGCTCTTTCCTGCCGACGTCTTCCTCCTTCTCCTCCTCAGCCCTTATACCGCCACACGGACTGTGCGCGTGTGTGTGTGTGTGTACAACTCGCCCGGGCTCGCTCCTCCTGTATTATTGCCCAACCGTAAATTTCGCCCGGAAAGCGATTTAGCGAGGAAACGGTAAAGATAAATCTTGAAAAAGTCGAAAAGCGTAAAACAGGAGCACCACAGCCGGGAGCTGCATCAGCGGGCAGGGGGCAAGGAAGTGCATGGAACGGCAGAAGAGCAAGGGGGTATGAAGAGAGGAGCCTTCTTACTTCGATATATATATATATATATATATATATATATATATTTATACCGTGTAACCCCCCCTCCCCGTGATCTTTTTGCTCTCTTCTCACCTCGCTACTGCAGCGGCTCCCCTGCACGTTCACCCCTTACAGTTTCCTTTTCCCTCCCGTCCTCCTTTTCTCTTATCCCTCCGTTCGTTCCGCGCCACCGTGTGTTCCGCTTCTCCTTTCTCTCAGTCGTTTTCTGCCCCCGTGCACCTCAGGAAAGGAGGAAAAGGGGGCGTGTCCGCGCGCGCGAAAAGCGGCGTGTGTGCATTTCTCCGTGTAAACGCTCCTCCGAAACGGTGCTTACGCTCATTCCTTCTCTTTCTACTCTTCCACGTTCTCTCCCCCCCCTTTCTCCCCGCAGAAAATTCGCTTTCATCATGAGAGTTATCCACGGTATTCGTTTACATACGTTTATCCATGGCGACGTTATCAGGCTTATTGGCGCGTGAATTTCCAAGGACGGTCCGGATTTCTTTGCGATCTTATTTCCTTGCTAGTTCTCGTATATCGTATTCGTGATTAAATCAAATTGATACATCTCTATCAGACCACTTTTATTTACGGATTCTACAATCAATCGCGAAGAGTTTATTTAAAAAAAAACATTCTTTTTTTTTCATATTTCTTAAATCCATTTATATTATTTACACATTATCTGTATATAATTATCAGAAACTTATGAAATATATCTATGAATATGTACAGGGTAAATCGTAAATATGTTTTAAAACTTCGTGAGCGTGTTCTTGGATAAAAAGTATGAATAAATAGATTTCATAATGAATTTCAGGCCAGATTCTTTCTTTCCACGATGTTGTGTCTCTAGTGTTTTGATTCTGAGATAGTGTTTGTTTACCAGCACACGACCCACTTGAAAGAAAAAAGAAGGGAGTTTTAATGCATAATTAGGCCTCTGTACTTGAGAGAGAGAGAGAGAGAGTACAGTAAGAGATAATGTACCTACAATCAAGTCAGTACGCTTGAGACAGTTCAACCGAACAGTATTAATATTGATTCATTTATTTACTGTAACAGTGTAGAGAATGTTTTCATTTGAATAAATGAATGATATTCATCTCACGTATGATGAAATGCAATACCCATTTGTGTCAATTATTTCGACAACGAAGCATTTTCAACCTAATGTTCATAGGAACATTTGTCCGTACTTCTTATCCAGAAACACGCTCACAAAATTTTAAACATACTTATGACTCACCCTGTGTATTCTTATTGTTAGTAAATATGTATATTCTTACAAAATATATCTATAGTCACGTATATACTAATCTATTGTCATTTTTTCATGTGATTTTCAGACACATGGAAAACACCGGGTCGAAAAATGGCGGATTTAAGCAGCACGGATTCAGCACGGGTCAGCGGCGACGGCGTCGGTGGCGGCGGCGGAATGCCGGATTGGCGGTAAGTGAAAATTGCGGCCACTTTGATCCTCGCGAACGAGTCCTCTCTTTGACGATTTTTTTCTGCCCCCCCCCCTTCTCCCCCCCGTTCCCGCGCGTGTGCGCACGGCTTAATACGATTTGCAAATTCGCGGCTCGGCCATCGCGGCGGGCCAGCCCGCCCGCTACCCGGCCGAATGAATAAATGATACGCGCCGATTCGGCCTATTGCGGCATTATCCGTCGTCGAATTCGCTCCTGACGCGGCCAATTATTCATGCTCGCGTGGCGCCACAGCGATTAAAGGTCAATTTCGATCCCGACGTTTGTGCGCGCGCGCGGAAGACTCTCCTCTCGCGCAAACATTCCTCCCATTAAATCGCCGGATTCGAAACAGCGACGGCGACGGGGCCGTCATGTTGCGATTCACGGCTGTAAATTAGATCTTTCTTCTCTCTCTCTCTCTCTCTCTCTCTCTCTCTCTCTCTTCCTTTCCGCTCGCGCTTTATTATATGTCACGTCGACAATCGGTTGATTCGCGCATGAGATTGCGATTAATCGCGATTCAATTGCGATCAAATATCTTGGGGAGAAACGTTCGCTATGAATTTAATTTGTGGCGTGCTTTATTCATTGCGTACATTAAATGCGCTGTACGTATAATTGTAACAAGAAAAATATCGTTCGTTATAAAGAGTCGAGAATAGAGAGGAGATCTTAACATGATAACAATATCGAGAGAGAAATAAGTGCCTTAAAATTTAGAAAGGATTGTCAGATAATGAAAAAAAGATTTATTTACCTATAGATATAAAAAATAATAATTGCTTTTTTAATTAACGATATTTAATAAGTTTATTAGATTATATTGTCATATATTTAAAAAAAAATATATGTTTATTCAAAAAATTACAAGAGGTAATGTGGATAGAAATGTGAATACGTAAAAATATTACATACTTAACAATTTAAAGATTTCATTTATTGACGACTTTCTTCGAATAATTGATTGACAAAGATATAATACGAAAAATAAAAAAAGCATCGAAAAACTATATGTATAATCAAATGAGGATCTTTATCGCGCGGTATATCTTCATATGAAAAAGAATTGATTTTAATGTATTAAGGAGAATTATATATATTCCTAAGAAAGATGACCGTTATTTTTTTGTCGCATCGTGGATAGATCGGCGACTCAAAATAAAGATGAACAATTAAGTTAGATTGACATTGATATCGAAAGGTGAATCACGCATACGGAGAATGCATGATCCGGCCGGCTGGCCTCGCGAGCGACCTCCTCATCCTCCGGTTATGGTAGGCATATATACGCGCGTCTAGAGGAAGTCACCGCACCGTGTACGGCGTAGAATAAACGGTCAGTGACGCGCGGTAATGGCCGACATCCTAATCCTGGCCCCCTACTGCTTAATGCCATACACTCCGCAATGATAATGCTGCGTGTGCTTTTTGTCATTACCAGTGCCAGAGCCATGGCTATCCCGTAATGAGCGCCGCGACTACATGGCTCCTTGGATAGCGCGCTGAAACCGCATGCAAGATTATGTTCCCGCGCCACGAGATCTTAAAGCTTTATATTTCATGCGATTGTTAGATAAAATATAATTCGCGATAAAATTCGGGATAAGATTTTATGTATATGATTCGACATGTCGTATATTTTTAGAAATTTTTAGAAATCATCTTTGCGAAATTAGATATTAGGAATATATGCTTAATTCCGAGAAACGCATATTATCCTTTATATCTTTTCAACTATCGCTCTTCTTCGATTAATTTTGAAGATAAACTTTCTTAGCGAAAATATCGTATTACTTATCGCATCTTTCCAATTATTACCATCATTGTAATATAAAGCGCTTCAAATATTGTAATTCGATTTTAAAATTAATATCTGAGAAAATTCGGAACTATTTGTCAGATTTATCGAAACCGAAGATAAAAATCTCTGTTTACGGAGCTTATTAAAGTCTATCAGAACCGGAGGAGAGTCACCACGACACACGATCATTGAATGGTCGCTTGAAAATTCCTAGTCGAAAAAAAAAATGTGCGGGTAGCAAGCGAGCGGCTATAACACATATTTTATCATCGTAAGAAGTGACGTCACTGGTGACCCTCTCACCATCTCTTCCCTGACGTATCCGAGAGTCTGCGGGTGTGAGAGCAAGATGATAAAGAAGGAAAGAAAGAAAGAGAGAAAGAGTGAGAGCGCGAAGAACAAGGAGAGCGTACCCGCAGCTGCCGCCCTGACTGCCAACACAATAATATCTAATTAATTTATTAATGAGGTTAAGTTGGCAGGATTGGACGGCAGACAGCGCGAGCCGACGCGCTCTTCGAGCAGTTTAGCGTGAACGTCTTCTGCTGCTTCTCGTCGGCGGAATGAATTAAGCTTAATCAGAGCAAAAGTGTCGGGCGCGTGTGCGAACGTCCTCGCAAGGGCCCCACGGCCCTTCTCCCTTCTTACGTTCCAGACTAACAATTCTATATCGAGCGTTAAGGCTGTGCGCATCTCAAGCCGATGTATCGCAGAAGCAGAGTAGCTAATCTTGCTAACGTAATACTCGGCAAGTTCATCATCTATAATAATAATAATCGTACCAGGTCCATTTCTAAATGCTATATACAACGAAACGTTTAACGATGAATATATAAGTCCACAACTTGTAAGATGTACTGTCATATACTTGCAAGTGGCTCTTCACGTTCAAAAGTTATGGACTTATATGTATATTATCTCCTCTTAACGTTGGATACCTTATTTGCGTCTTTTTTTTTTTATCAATTCTGAGAAACGATATTGTAAAATACGCCGGCAGCAATACGTGGAGCAAGAATCGTTTGACGTTAAGTTTCGACCGGAGCTTCTTCAACGAAAAGTCCGTAGACAGTTGGCTGCGCGCGCGGTCCCCGGAGGGATTCGCAGCTACGTCTGCGACGAAAACGAGCTCGGACAACCGCCCTTATACCCATCATCATCGTCGGCCTCTTTTTCTTCGTCCACCCTCACCGGCCGTCCCAGTCTCTCCATCCCCGGTCTCTCCCCTTTCCCTCCCTCACGGTTCGCAAAACCGGCGGAATGAATTAAGCTTAATCAGAGCAAAAGTGTCGGGCGCGTGTGCGAACGTCCTCGCAAGGGCCCCACGGCCCTTCTCCCTTCTTACGTTCCAGACTAACAATTCTATATCGAGCGTTAAGGCTGTGCGCATCTCAAGCCGATGTATCGCAGAAGCAGAGTAGCTAATCTTGCTAACGTAATACTCGGCAAGTTCATCATCTATAATAATAATAATCGTACCAGGTCCATTTCTAAATGCTATATACAACGAAACGTTTAACGATGAATATATAAGTCCACAACTTGTAAGATGTACTGTCATATACTTGCAAGTGGCTCTTCACGTTCAAAAGTTATGGACTTATATGTATATTATCTCCTCTTAACGTTGGATACCTTATTTGCGTCTTTTTTTTTTTATCAATTCTGAGAAACGATATTGTAAAATACGCCGGCAGCAATACGTGGAGCAAGAATCGTTTGACGTTAAGTTTCGACCGGAGCTTCTTCAACGGAAAGTCCGTAGACAGTTGGCTGCGCGCGCGGTCCCCGGAGGGATTCGCAGCTACGTCTGCGACGAAAACGAGCTCGGACAACCGCCCTTATACCCATCATCATCGTCGGCCTCTTTTTCTTCGTCCACCCTCACCGGCCGTCCCAGTCTCTCCATCCCCGGTCTCTCCCCTTTCCCTCCCTCACGGTTCGCAAAACCACCCCCCCCCCCCTCCGCCCACCCCTCTCCCGTCTCTCGTCATCTCCCCGCTCGGTGACAGACCCACGCAGTTATTACGTGACCATAAAGAGCAACCGCTTTCCCGAGGACGATATCGTATTGCGCTTGTCGCGTCAAATTCCGGGATCGCGCTTGATTCCGGAAGTAACGCGAAGAGGGAGAATCCGGGACACATGTCGGGTAACGGAGGAATGAAACTCGCCGATAAAACCAAGGAGAGGACCGGTATACCGTTCGGCTCGACGAAAGTTGATATTTCGTTTAGATGGATTTAAAGGGTTACAAAGGCTGTGAGCCCCAGTTTTTCTTTATATACTGAGACATTTATTATCGCACGCGTAAACACAATACAAATATATGAAACTTTAATTCATATGACTTATATCATTTTGCCGTCTAATCTTTCACTATAACATTGGTGAAAAACGATATAGTGATTGTAATCGATTAAATAAGAGATATCTTTAGATAATTAAATTCTTTCTTTTAGAAGTATTATTATTATTTTAAAGAAAAATTAATTTTAAATTGACCAAAGATTTCTTCATTAAAAGATAATATAAGTGACACATTGTGTACAGTAAAATTTACATGAAACTAAAATGATATACAATATTAAAATATAATGATATTTCGATTAGTAACTGGCATAGATTATTATTAATTTCCTATAATGATAATTGCATGTTATATTCATCATTTTCATATAACTGTCATATTAATTATCATACTAATTCGAGCAACTAATTTGATTAAATGTGATATCACTGTCGGTTCGCATGGTAGCTTGGATGGATAGCACACTTAGAATAGACGGTCACCCGAACGCGTCGCAAATTCTAATCCTATTATTGCAAAGTCAAGTTTGAACCTAAAACGGAATTATCGGTTACTCGGGTCTAATGCCATAATAGCCATGTATCGCTGGATTATATAACATGATCGCTGACAAGAGTTTCCGCCACGACAATACATTATTTAAATGTCTAACTTTCAACACAATTATTATGGGATTTTGTAAATAACATTATTGTCGTCGTCAAATAAATATAAAAATTATATCGCGGTAGATAATTATGACAATTGAAATCTTTCCAACAAAATGATGCTGCCAATATGTTTTAACCCAACCAAAAATGATGCATGATAATGTCGAACTTAAACAGTTATTCTATTTCTCTACAATTAGATTAACTTTGTTGCC